AGATTGCAGAATCACATTGGTTATACATCCACGTTTTTACATACTACTATATTAGTGTCTGTTGTATTCTGCTGTATTTTACTTCTATTATTTATCCATCTACCTATATATCTTACTGGGGTTTTTCAACATTAGTTCTAATAATATTTTGGGCTGAATATTGGATATAGTCAAATGTTTACTAGTTTAACTGCCTTCCAAATATTGGGGGCCAATTGTAGTCTACCACAGAGGTGTGACGAGGATAATGCCTAGAATACATCCCTAGACCTTGGAAATAAAATCAGGCCAAACAGAACAACCAATCTGTCTGGGTGAATCTATAGTACTACTTAGACATATTTTTTATTTGTAAAAATATGCTTACTTTCGAATATCATAAATTCAAGAGTTTGGATGTATCTCATTTACACATGCTTATATACCCCAAAATATCTCAGGAGACAATTCTGAAGAGTTTCTGACTGTGCTGATGTCTGTATCCAAATAGGTTTTGTGATAATCATCGATGGAAAAACACAATCTCACCCTGGTGCATGAGTTCATTCTGATGGGCATCACCTCACGCCCTGAACTGCAGGCTCCCTTTTTTGGGCTGTTCCTCATCATCTTTGTGGTCACAGTGCTGGGCAACTTGGGCATGATCATCCTCACCAAGGTGGACCACAGCCTTCAAACACCCATGTACTTTTTTCTCAGACACCTGGCTCTCACTGATCTTGGTTATTCTACAGTTGTGGGCCCCAAAATGTTAGTAAATTTTGTTGTGGATGAGAATACAACCTCCTATTTTTTGTGTGCCACACAGCTAGCTTTCTTTCTTGTGTTCATCATTTGTGAACTTTTTATTCTGTCTGCAATGGCCTATGACCGCTATGTGGCCATCTGCAACCCACTGCTCTACACTGTCATCATGTCACAAAGACTATGTCATGTGCTGGTAGCAATTCCTTATCTCTACAGCATATTTATTTCTCTTCTAATCACCATAAAAATTTTTAATTTACCCTTTTGTGGCAACAAGATTATAAGTCATTTCTGTGACAGTCTCCCCTTGATATCTTTGTTGTGCTCAAATACACATGAAATTGAATTAATCATTTTGATTTCAGCTGGGTTTAATCTGGTTTCATCCCTTGTGATACTCCTATTTTCTTACCTCCTCATCCTTGTAGCCATTTTCAGGATGAACTCTGCTGAAGGAAGGCACAAAGCTTTATCTACTTGTGGATCCCATCTGACGGTAGTCATAGTGTTCTATGGGACTTTGATATTTATGTATGTGCAGCCCAAATCCAGTCACTCCTTTGATACTGATAAAGTAGCTTCCATATTTTATACATTGATCATCCCCATGTTGAACCCCTTGATCTATAGCTTTCGGAACAAAGATGTAAAATACGCCCTTGAAAGGATATGGAAAAACTTATGCAATGTTGTTTCTTAATGTTCTCAATATGATTCTTATAAATTAGACTATGGACATAAATTTTTGGTCTGTGCGTATTGAAAGTCAATGGCAAGAACAAATGCATTAAACTACATATCCATGTGTTTTCATATATTCTAGACACATGTAACTACTCTAAGAAGATTAATTTTAAAAAAAAAAAAGAAGAAAAAGGCCGAAAAAGGAAGTCAAGAAGAAGAAAACAATCCCCAAACAAGCAAAAAAAACCGAAATCAAACCCCAAAATCCCAAAAAAAAAAAAAAAAAAAAAATCAAAACAAAAAAAAAAATACATCAATTAATAAATAAACCAATAAATAGTAACATATATCTACCTTCCCTGAGAGAGTTCAATGAATATGTTATACATAATATGTCAATATATAAGTCAACTTTATAACACAATGGAATGTTGTAAAGAAACCAAGCAAAGGAAGTGAAAAGGCTGAGTGGGAATAGGGACAGTAGGTGGTGCAGAGGGAAGTGGCAAGAGTTTCTGTGTTTTTCTCTCCCACTTGAATAAAATCCAGGGCTGCTTTTCCACCTGTGTGTAGGTGTTGGTATTCCTATAACTCCTGTTTGTTTGTTTTTACAGGCTTTACCATTTTTATGGTGTATTTTGGAATTGTAATTGATACACTATGTTTACCTGGTGTGTAAAGAGATAAATTAGTCATATGAATCTGCTCAAATGCAACTATTCCGAACACTGCTGTTCCATTCTCTCATGGATGCTCTCATTTCTACATATAAGTCTATTAACTGGATACAATTCGTTTTTCAGTAATCCTTAGGTCCTCATTGGTACCTGTATTTGTCTCCATCAGTCCACTTGCTCCACATCAGTGGATGTGCCAGTTAAGATAATCTTTTGCATCCATTCAGAGAAGCCCTTAGGTTGGCTCTTTTTCTGAAGTGGTTGTTCCTAGTTTATTTCTGGCTGTTTGTTTTCATGGATTGTAATATTTTTGTAAAGAAAAAGTAATTATCATTATTTTAATGTAAAGTTCCAGTTGTTTCATATTTTGTATTAAAAAAGATCATTATATGTTTCCCTTTTGTTGGGTTGCTGTTTCTCCACATGGATCAGTATTGATCATGCACTATACTTTCATGATTTGACTGCATCTTTTTTGATCATTTTGCTTGTGAGAAGTGAAAGAAAACAATCCTATAGATGGCACCTTAGAACATTTCTAATATAACTGAGATTATGTCAATAAGAAAAGATAGAGTTTGTTTCCTTCCAGGCACAGTTTCTTCATACCACTGCCTGTGTTTCCCTAGGGACATTTTTTCCTGATTTTTTTTTTCTCTTTGGTAGTTCTAGGAATAAATTGAATCTATCAGTTTGAATATTTGCTTACATCAGCATAATGAAATAAAAGTTTTCTGGTAGCCAATAAAATTTGAACAAAATATTACATTTGAATAACATTATAACATTTGAATAACAAAGTGCATAGTACCTTGTTAAGTGAGTAAAATATTATCAAATGATTGATTCAGTTAAGATGAATTTTTGAGGTGTTGGTCAGTACAATCATGTAATAATAATAAATCACATATATTTAGTTCTATATAATTTTTCATGTCTTAGTTAAGCCTTCACAATAGCTTTACACAATGTCTTACTAAAATTTCCATTTTTTTACTAGGATATAGTAGAGACTGAGAAAAGGGTGAGTAAATTGCCAGAGTTCACCAAGCTATTCAGGATTAGAATCAGCTTTCAAAGCCATTTGATCAATATCTACCTTGCATTCTCTTAACAATTGTCCTATATTGTCTCTTAATATGCTTCACTTTTGTCACTGGGAGATGACAGAGATTAAGATCTTACTTTTTAAGGTGTCAGGTTAGGAGGAAAAAGGCAAAAGGGTGACACATGAGTACCTTCAAGGGAGTGTATGGTACAGCTCGGTGACTGCAGTACACCATATAATCATTCCCATTCAGTTCCAAATCTATGATTTAACCAAATATGAACCAAAAAATATAAAAATAACAATACAGAAATAAAAAAACAACACAAATAGAAAACAATAGATTATAGTATATATACAATTTTTTTTTTTTTTACAGGGCATTCATGAGGATTTAATAAGATAGTATATGCCAATTGTCTACGCATTACATTATGTTAGGTATTATAACTAATCCAGGATGCTTTAAAACATACAGAAGGCTAGGCAAAGTTTACAAAATCATATAGAGAATCTAATATATGGGTTGGTGACAAGTTAGCAATATTATTTTGTTTACTAGAATTAGACCAGAGAACAGAGTTTGTGTACTCAGCATATGTACACATACTAAAGAAAAAAAAGGTGAAATAGTACACATAAATCACAATCATTAGAAGTCATTCATTCTATTTCTATACAGAAAAAAAATGATATTCATCAACATCCAAAGTAAAAATATGTTATCTATGTAAGCAATATAGAGCAAAAGAGAAAACCAATTGTCACTCTATTGATTCAGCCTTAGTGAAGCTAATCTAATGTTCATTGATTTGCATGTAGGACCACTATTATGCATTATTGCTATAAATATAAATAAATAAAAATAAATTTTAGAAAGTTAGAGGAGGAGAACTTACATTCATCAGAAGAAGACATAAGTGGACAAAAGGTATGTAAAAAATACTCAGCATCAGTACATATTATGAAATGTAATGAGTTATTACTTCATACCTATCCAAATGGCTAAATTTCCAAATTTATTAAAAGAAACAACAAATGTGGTAAGAAACTTGGACAACAAGAAACTCATATATTTTTGATAGAAATGTAAATTATTACAACTATTATAAAAACTAGTATGAAGGTTCCCCCAAGAATTAGTGATAGAAATGCCAAATGACCCAGTAATCCCACTTCTATACATATATTTGTGTACACACACACATACGCACACACACAAATATACATATCTTCAAAGGGACTGCAATCAAGATGTAGAAGAGGCATTTGTATTTCCATGGTGATTTCTTCACAATAGTCAAACAATGAAAACCATGTAAGTGTCCATCAGTAGATGAATGAATAAAGAAAATGTGGCATATTAACACAATGGAGTACAGTACAGCTTTAAAGGAAGGAACTCCGGTCATTTGCTGTAATCTGAATAAATATAGAGGACAATATGCCAGCTGAATTAAGCCAGGCACATTAGAGAAATAATGCATGATCTTTACTTAAACATGGAATCTAATGTAGTTGAACTTGAATTCACAGAAATAGAATAGAATAATGGTTATTATTATTTATCACATTATATCACCACATTGTACCCTGTAAATATGCAATTATGATTTGTCAATAATTTAAACAATAGTAATAATAAATTTAATAAAACACAAAAAATGAAGATTCATTTTAACAAGTCAGAAGATGAATAAACACATGTATTAAAATATCCAGAAATTTCTTCTAAAAATAAGAAATATGTTTTAAAATGTGCAGTGTGATTCACTGGAAAAATGGATTATCACACAGGAAAATGAGAAGGGTAACTCAAAATTATACCGATCCTTTGAAATTGGTGGTGTGAATTTCCTAAAAGCTTTGCCAATGCTGTTAACTAGGTTTTTGTGTTTTATCAACCACTTCTGTAAACAACAGGAAACTGGAAAACAGATGTAACCTATGTTCTCAGATATCTGACACTTGGTGCACGGGACTGTGGTCTATGAAAGGGTACTTTAGCAGTTCCTGATAGTGGTTAGTGACAGGACATAAAGGGAAATCAACAATTGTGTTTAAAAAAGGACACACAGAACAAGCCAGGCTGAGGCACCTGGTGTGTGTGAGATGAGAACTGGAGTGGAATCAGAGAAGGGATTAGGAGGCTGTTTGAGACTTTGGATGACCACTAAAATACACATATTACAGTATAATTTCATAAAGCAGATTTTGAAAGAATTACCAGGGAAAGAGAAATTTCCAGAATTTTTGTGATGAAAATTACCAGTTCACCCAGGTTTGAGATGTCAATTAAACAATAGTAATAAAAACATTCTAGCAACTGGTACTGATGGAACTTAATAATAATTTAGAGCATTCACAAGAGACTGCTGCAGACAGATGAATTCACCCCAGAGGAAAGCAGTCACCAATCCCTATGTTAACAGAGCTTAGCATTAATCCTCAAAATATGTATAAACTGACATGCTAATAAACAAACTGTCCGCCCAAACAAAACTCTACATGGTTTAAAGTAAGATTTGACACTGAGATAATGAATGACTTTTCCATTTCTTCAACTTTTATTTTGAGGGATCTTGTCAGCCAAAACCATTAGATAAAAATCTTACAGGGCTCCCACAGTCTTTGTGATACAAAGAACCAAAAGGCAAAGTGTGTGATAATCACAGCCACAGGAAAATTAAGAATGAATCCCAGACAGAATACAAACAGGGAAAAAGAAATATATTTGCACGAATTCTGCACAATTCCATCCCCTGGACCATCTGGCACATAGGAGAAAGATGCTAGGGGCCTAGAATAGAAGAAAATATTAAGTGATATTTGCATTAACACCCACAGTTAGTTATTATTTATTTACTTATTGTGGTACTGGAAACTGAGCCCAAGTCTTTGTACATCAGGCAACTTCTCTGCCACTAACCTACTTAAATATGAGTTTGCAATTTGAGGCACATCATGTTAATTTCCTTCTCAAATAAAAATTTTAAAATGAACAAATAAAATTAATACTCTTAAGAGGATGATTTAAAATAACCACATCTCCATAGCATATTATAATATCCAAAATGAAATTCAAAATTTCTTGATGTATAAATATACAGGAAAATTAGAACAAGGATTTTTCCCCCAACATAGGCTAGCTCTATGTCCTTTTGCTCCCTATATGCCTTAGCAGTATTCAGTGACTCTAGATGCTTAGCTGAGGCTACACCTAGTTGTCTGAACTCTCTAGCCCATCTTGTGCCCTGCATCAAAATCTGTTTTGTACATGTGAAAGTTTAG